AGGCACTCTTCAACTTGACATATGGTGACACCGTATTTACAGGAGCTCCATTAACTTGACATAGGGTGACACCTTATTAACAGGCACTCTTCAACTTGACATATGGTGACACCGTATTTACAGGAACTCCATTAACTTGACATATGGACTTGACATATTTACAGGAGCTCCATGAACTTGACATATGGTGACACCGCAATTACAGGAACTCCATTACCTTGACATATGGTGACACCGTATTTACAGGAACTCCATTAACTTGACATATGGACTTGACATATTTACAGGAGCTCCATGAACTTGACATATGGTGACACCGCAATTACAGGAACTCCATTAACTTGACATATGGTGACACAGTATTTACAGGTACTCCATGAACAAGACAACACCTTATTAACAGGTACTCCATGAACAAGACAACACCTTATTAACAGACACTGAGAGAATAAGCAATGACCCACAAGGAAGCAGAGATTATTTATCTCAAGTGAATAGATGGTGAAAAACCAAGCCTTTGACGATGTACAGCATTTATTAAAGAGGGACAGAGATCACAATTCCGAGTTTTGACTCTGTCATTTTATACATCACTTATTGACATTATATAATAAAAATGAAGAAAACTTATCTGTGTAATGTCAACCAAAGACAAACTTCGCTTGTGGCAGTCAATTGATCAGAACATGTAATGAAACTGACTTGTGTAATAAATTATAATGGGTGACATAATATCACAGTTTTCTCAGTAATATAGCACAGTGAAACTGACCAATCAGCATTGAAGCTGGGTAAAGTATTGGAAAGCTGTCCTAGAAGATCGATATGCTCATATGGGTAATATTTCTTGCTTTATGACTCTTTGTTCTAGTTAAACCTTCAAGGTTAGGAAATATTTTTGGTTGTGGGTCTGTATAATAAAACTAGCAATGACTTTAGGGGTTTGAAATCATGGCCAATGATGATGCTAGGTCACTAGAGTGAATATCATCTGATTCAATAATTGAAGACAGCATCTGTATAGCTGGATTAATCTTCCCTTTATCACCATTTAAAGCTGTGCTCTTGTACTCTACAGCTGGACTCTTGTTTGACAATATTGTCTATGTTTTTTTGATTGGACACAGAGATTTTCCTCAAAGTGAGTGAGTGAGTGAGTTTAGTTTTACGACGCACTCAGCAATATTCCAGCTATATGGCGGCGGTCTGTAAATAATCGAGTCTGGACGAGACAATCCAGTGATCTCATCTTGTGGTATCCACTGATGAATCAGGAGCAATCCTGACTAATTGTTGACATACACTACCAGGTTGCTAGGCAAACGACAAACACTAACACCTGTGTCGTACCAGAAGCCCTATCAATATTTCTCCCAAGAATTTCCATGACAACTGTCAATCAATCACACCTTGAGCTGCAGTTAATTTCTTCTTAATTCAAACAGTGACAGAACCACAGACATTTTTCAAACAATATTCTAAGTTTGTTCTCATTAAATGAAGGAATGTGAGGCCAAAGTTTCCCTGGGGAAGGTTTGGCCAAGGGGAAAGTTTGGCCTGCTTCACAGGTTTCAATTCCCCCACATGGGTACAATGTGTGAAACCCATATAGCTGGAATATTGCTGAAAGCGGCGTAAAAATAAACTCACTCACTTTAAAAAGCTCACAATGTAAACAAAGAGGGCTCATCAAGTAAGCATACAAGCCATTGTTTGAGTGAGTGAGTGAGTTTTTTTGTTTTGTAAACTCCTATAATACCCTGTATTGTTTGTTGATTGTTGGTGTTTAACTGAAATCTTGTACACTGTAACCTCAATTTCACATAGGATAATAAAGCATTATCTTATTTAACTTTATTTTATCTTATTTTAAACATGCCCTCCTAAAATATAAAATTTCTATATGATACATTTCTGAGCCTGTTCCAGAAGGTACACAAGTAAATGCATTGTAATTATTATCAAAAACATTTAAATTTGCCACTAATTTTGTTAACTAAAGTTCGATCTGTGGATCTGTGATGTCATTTGACTGTGATATCATGTTAACCGGTGATGTCACAATGGTCTACAAAGCATTTTGTTTGGCCATTCTAAGCATTTTCAGACAATTTCTGTGCAGTGAAATCAGCAAGGAGATGAGGAGAGAAAAACACCCCTGCAATATCTCCAAGAGGATATTGGTTAATCTCATCAAAGTGATATTTCCTGTGAATGCTAGTTTGGCAAAAAAAGTACTTTATAACAAGGCCAAAGTTATTTGCCTTAATTGGGCTTTTAGCCTCAGTCTATCAATTTTGCTTTAAATCCAGCACTCAAAATATTAGTCATATGAAGTAGTGAGTGAATGAGTTTAGTTCTACGCCGCACCCAGCAATATTCCAGCTATATAGCAGTGGGCTGTAAATAATTAGGTCTCAACCAGACAATCCAGTGATCAATATCATAAGCATTGATCTACGCAATTGGGATACGATGACATGTGTCAACCAAGTCAGCGAGCTTGACCACCCCGATCCCGTTAGTCACCTCTTATGACAAGCATGGGTTACTGTAGATCAATATTCTAACACGGACCTTCGTAAAGAACAAAATGGCTGCAACAAATACTGGGTAATATCTACAACTACAAATCAGCAGTTGATGTATTGCTCAATATATTCAGTGAAACAATAACAGCATACCATCTTTGATACCTTGTGACCATTTAAACATGATTAATGTATCATGACATTGACCAGTGACCCAAGTTAAATATATAAGAGCATTGACAAATACCCTGCCTGGCTCGAATATATTCCATTTTTCATATTTCTCTTTGATAAATAACACTAAATTCAATGAAAAAAACATTTGATTAACCAAATACGCAAGTGAATCGTAGCAGCCGTAGTATTTTCCACAACCTGCAAATGAGCATGTGGTGTCTCCTACACAAATGACTGGGTTCACTGCCCTTTAAGCACCTCACAGACCACCCTGTTCGTTTTCTACCACAGGAGCGGAAAATGAGAATTGAGTGCACACTGATCCATTGACCTGGATAATCATCCCTGATAATAATATAAAGCCTCGGTGAGCAGGCTAGCTGGAACTCAACTCCGTGTTATGTAAATAGATTATTGTTATTGTCATTAACAGCAGCTTGCCATCCATAACTAAGACACATAACTAACACATACTGAATGGTCTTGTTTCAGGTGATGCAGCTGCCCAAACAATGAAACCAGATGAATGACATCCCCACTGAAACCTCATTACCTGGAGATTGTTTACCTGGATGCAACTTTAATCAATCATGAACCGACGTAATTAACAGGCCTAATTACCACTTCGTGACCAACCAGCATCTGTCCGCATGAAGACCAACTGAAGGGAACTAGTGCCTCACATTGGACAACAGATCATGAAAGCAGTACGGTGTACCGGTTACTCATACTGACACTGAACACCACAGCACTGCGTCAATACTAGACACCAGTACCTCTCACTAACATTGAACACCACAGCATTGCATCAATTCTAGACACCAGTACCTCTCACTAACATTGAACACCACAGCATTGCATCAATTCTAGACACCAGTACCTCTCACTAACATTGAACACCACAGCATTGCATCAATACTAGACACCAGTACCTCTCACTAACATTGAACACCACAGCATTGCGTCAATACTAGACACCAGTACCTCTCACTAACATTGAACACCACAGCATTGCATCAATTCTAGACACCAGTACCTCTCCCTAACATTGAACACCACATCATTGCATCAATTCTAGACACCAGTACCTCTCACTAACATTGAACACCACAGCATTGCATCAATTCTAGACACCAGTACCTCTCACTAACATTGAACACCACAGCATTGCATCAATACTAGACACCAGTACCTCTCACTAACATTGAACACCACAGCATTGCATCAATTCTAGACACCAGTACCTCTCACTAACATTGAACACCACAGCATTGCATCAATTCTAGACACCAGTACCTCTCACTAACATTGAACACCACAGCATTGCATCAATTCTAGACACCAGTACCTCTCACTAACATTGAACACCACAGCATTGCATCAATTCTAGACACCAGTACCTCTCACTAACATTGAACACCACAGCATTGCATCAATACTAGACACCAGTACCTTTCACTAACACAGTACACTAGTGTCCCACACTAATATTAGACACCAGAGCCTCACACTAACACAAGACATCAATACTAGACACCAGTACCTCTCACTAACACCAGACACCGGTGCCCGACATCGGTAAACGACACCAGTTCCTCACATCACACCATTACAACACACCGTCGCCCAATACCAATACATATCACCAGTGCCTCACATTAACACAAGACACCAGTGCCCAGTACTACTCAGGATACCAGTGCCTCACACACAACAGTGCCTCACCTTAACACAAGACACAAGTGTCCCACACCAGTACAAGACACCAGTGTCCGACTTCAACACAAGACACCAGTGGCCCACACCAATACAAGACACCAGTACCCCACATCAACACAAGACACCAGTGTCCGACTTCAACACAAGACACCAGTGGCCCACACCAACACAAGACACCAGTGGCCCACATCAACACAAGACACAAGTGTCCCACTTCAACACAAGACACCACTGTCCCACACCAACACAAGACACCAGTGGCCCACACCAACACAAGACACCTGTGGCCCACATCAACGAAAAAACACCAGTGTCCGACTTCAACACAAGACACCAGTGGCCCACATCAACACAAGACACCAGTGGCCCACATCAACACAAGACACCACTGTCCCACTTCAACACAAGACACCACTGTCCCACACCAACACAAGACACCAGTGGCCCACATCAACACAAAACACCAGTGTCCGACTTCAACACAAGACACCAGTGGCCCACACCAACACAAGACACCAGTACCCCACATCATCACAAACACCTGGTGTTCCACTTCAACACAAGACACCAATGGCCCACACCAACACAAGACACCACTGGCCCACACCAACACAAGACACCAGTTGCCAACACCAACACAAGCCTGCCACAGACATATGCAACCAGTGTCTTGAGCCAACACTTAGTTCCACAAGCCACAGGGGACCAGTACATCACATCAAGACAGAAGACCAACACCCACCTGAACACAAGACACCAGTGTCCCACCTGAACACACGACACCAGTGTCCCACCTGAACACAAAGACACCAGTGTCTCACACCAACCCAGGAGATGTAAGCCACATTTCTTACATCACATTCCAAGGCAATCCAACCACAGAGGAGTCATACCCACAAGACTCGTGCGATAAATTATTTATCTCCAAAGGGTGCTTTTATCCAATTATCACAACAGGATCCCAGCAACAAGGCTGGGTTTCAGTGGTCAGAACAATCAAGAAATTTCAGACTGGGATTGAAAGAACTTCTAATCAATCAGTTTTCCACGATGAAGTTTGAAGGGTGCTCTGTGATATGTACAACAGTGAGGCTCAAGTCAATCACAGTTATTGATTTCCAGCAACTGGCATCTATCAATATTAGCTGAAATGCAAATCCAAGTGCATTATCTGCCTGGCTTCCATGACACATAAGATTTACAGTACTGTATTCAGGATTTAGTACACAGATGACTGGAGACATGACATTGAGAATGGTTCCAAACACGGCCATCTCATCATCCGGCCAGACGACATTCTCTTTTCTTTCAACTCAATGCTGATTACCTTCTAAATATATCTGACATTTACAAGAAATATGAATGGATGGATTTCATGGCTATTCACAGTGGCAAGAAAGACTCAAGGATAATGTTCTATTTGCAATTGGCTTTTCTGTGAACTCATCACATTCTATGGATACAAAACAACATGGAAAATAGGATTATTTCAAGATTACGGTTTGTGATGTGAAATTGTATTAACATGTGACACCCAATTTCCACATGGCAATTCTGTGATACTGGCCAGCGCACAGTTTGTATTTCTTAACCTGGACGTACTATGCAACACTGACGATGAAGAAGAAGGGATGTTTCAACAATCCTTGTTTTCTGACCTATGCTACCCGGGTGGTGTTCTCCCTGCTAGTTCTGCTCAGTGCTTCCCAGATAACATGCACTGTCATCTTCATGCTTGTTTGTCGCAGAAGTGCTCGCGACCTTGTGTTGACCCTTGACCTTTCTGTTGACCCCTGTATAGGTCAGGGCATCCCTGCCTATATGGCATCCCTAGTTCTGTTGGTGACAGTGCTTGGGTTTGGATGTCTAGGTCGGAAGGCAACTTCAGTGATTTTGATATTTCTCGGAATATGTGATGTTGGTGTTTCGATATATCTTCACGTCACACAGCTAAATCAAGACTTTAGTCAAATCGCGACAGATTTGAACCACACGCTCTCTTCATGTGGTGATGGCATTGACGTATTTCTGAACAGCACAGTCAGCAACACCACATACACTGTTGACAACAACTTCCGAACTTGTCCCAGTGTTTACAACATAGTAGCACAAACCTGCACGGAAATAATCTCTCTTTTTTCACACACACTCACATACAAAGATATGCAATCATGTTCCAGTATTATCATACAATCTCTCACCGACATGAAGTTCAAATATTACCCAGTTTCTCTCCCACTCATGTTTTTATCGCCAATTTTGTACATAGTGTTAAGCGTTTCCTTGTTTTATATCCAACATCGAGACAAGAAGCTCCCCGGCTATAGACGAAGGGAGCATATTCTCCATACACCTGAGTTCCGGGAATGTTCCACAAAGGACACGGATGACACTGACGTAGGGTCGAGGTGGACACTGAAACTGTGTTTGTTGAACCTGTTGTGGTGTCGTTGTGTTGTGTTGTTCAAACAACAGTACTGTTGTGGAGTGAGGAAATCACGGAGGGATAATCGGGATATGTATGAATTTGAAGCATTACCAATGAGACTCTCACACGAGGAGCCAATGACGTCTGTTACACAGCTTGTGTGACAATTGTTGAGACCTTGTGTTTCATGTGTACGGAGCCAGTTATAACTGCGACACGGTGAGTTAGATTGTTGACACCTCGTGTTCATCAAAGAGATGATATGTGGTTGACAGTTGAGATGACAATGTTGACAGTTATTTCACATGCACCAAAAAGATACTAAACTTGCAGCACAATATGACAGATTGTTGACAGCTAGTGTCGGTCAAGCAGCTGATATGTGTCTGACAGCTGGGATGACAATATTAACAATAGTTTAAGCAAGATACTAAATTTGCAGCACAATAAGACAGATTGTTGACAACTAGTGTCCATCAAGGAGCCGATATGTGGTTGACAGCTGAGATAACAATGTTGACAATTGTTTCACATGCACAGAGAAGATACTAAACTTGCAGCACAATAGGACATATTGTTGACAGCAAGTGACCTTCAAGTAACTGATATGAGGTTGACAGTTGGGATGACACTGTTGACAATTGTTTCACATTCATGGAGTAGTCAATAAACTTGCAGCACAGTAAAACAGATTGTTGACAGGTAGAGTCAGCCAAGCAGCTGGCATGTGGTAATGATTTGAAATAACAAATCTTTGAATGCCTGTTTCATCTACATGGAGAAGATCAGCTCTGCAAGACAGTAAGACATATTGCTGACAGAAAGTGTCCACCAAGCAGCTCCAATATGTGGTTGACAGTTGGGATGACAAACCATTGAATGTCTCGGTTTCTGCTGCATGGAACAGATTGTGTCACACAAGCACCTGATGTCTGTTACACAGTCAGAACAACAAATTGTTGACGTTTGTTTCACACAAATTGATCCAATGAAATTAAAACAGATGTGTTACGCTTTTGGGACGACAAACTGTTCATATGTGTTTCATTTTCAAGGGTGGATCAGCTCTGTGAGACAGCGAGTACAAAAGCTAACAGCTAGTCTACAATAGATAGTATGACAAAGCGATGACGTCTTGTGCAGATGAAGCCGATTGTTGACAGATGGTGTATCAAAGCTGATCTATGTTACACTGACGACAAATGTTGACATGTGTTTCATCTTCACCGAGTGATACCAACTCTCGATGACAGACAGAAAGCTTACAGCTAGTCTCAAACAGCTATGATAAACAGGTGACGTCTTGTGTTCCACCTCCACAGAGCATACCAACTCTACAAGCCAGTAAGACTGTTGACAGGTGGTGAATAGCTGATGTGTGTTCCACAGTTGGGATGACAAATTACTAACATCTTGTGTTCCACCTGCACAGAGCAGATGAACTCTACAAATCAGTAAAAATGTTGACAGGTAGTGTCCTATATGTGTTCCTCAGTTGGGATGATGAATTTATAACATTTTGTGTTTCCTCTGCACAGAGCAGATCAACTCTAAAGGGCAGAAAGACTGTTGACAGGTAGTGTCCTATATGTGTTCCACAGTTGGGATGATGAATGAATAACATCTTGTGTTTCACCTGCATGGAGCAGAATAACTCTTCAAAACACCAAGACAATTTGTTGACAGCTATGGTCCAACTTGATGAAAATTTAATTTCCATCTGAACAAAACAGATGAACTCTGCAAGACAGTATGATTGTGGACAGCTTTGTCTCAAAGATGGTACGGTTAAAAAAGTTGGGATGAGGAAAGAGTCCAATATGCATGAATCTTTTATTCACAGTTAACACGGTTAAGAGAACAAGAAACATTTATGGATGAACATTTCTTCATTGGCTCTGAAGGGCTACATTTTTCCGTTCATTAAGTGACTGACTTACATGTACATGTAACTTTAAATACTGATTGTTTTACATTTACACTAGATATAACACATTGGTCTAAACATTGTTGACAACTATTTCCAACACAGAGGCTGACATTTCTTGCAGACATGGGACAACAAGTTGTTAACAACTGTGTGTCTCATATGCATGGAACATTTACATTTGATAACTGTACCTACAGTCTGACACACTGTTGACAACTTTGTGTGTAACAAAAACTAAATCTTTGGTAACTGCAACCAATCTGATTGATTGTTGACAATTTTGTGTCTCAGATATGCATGGCGGGGCGGTGGGGTAGCCTAGAGGTTAAAGCGTTCACTCATCACACCGAAGGCCCGGGTTCGATTGCCCACATGGGTACAATTTGTGAAGCCCATTTCTGGTGTCCCCAGCCGTGATATTGCTGGAATATTGCTAAAAACGGCGCAAAACCATACTCAGTCAGTCAGTCAGTCAGATATTCATTGAGCCTTTGGTAACTAAACCACTGTGACAAATTGTTGACAATTAGGTGTCTGATATGCTTGGGCCTTTGTTAACTACAAAAACAGTCAGACAACTTGTCGACAACTGTGTGTGAAACAAGAACTGAATCTTTGTTAACTGCAACAAATCAACCAATCTGACAAATTGTTGACAACCAGGCTAGCTATTCTTGAAAGGTTCGTAACCTTACGAACTTCTTAAGCCCATTCTTAACACATTGGCTACGATCAAAGTTAAGAATTATTAGGGCTGCGAACGTTTCGAGAATAAGGCCCCTGGTGTCTGATATAAGTGGGGCTTTTGATAAATGTAACAACAGTCTGACCAATTGTTGCCAACTTTGTGTCTGCTATGCATGGAGCCTTTGGTAACCACAGTCAAACAAACTGTTCACATCTCAAGGTTGTAATACGACACACAAGAGTCTGATGATATCCAATAAATATCTGATATGACCAATTGTTGACACTGAGTGTGTCACATTACAAGAGGGGCTGATGATATCCAATAAATATCTGATATGACCAATTGTTGACACTGAGTGTATCACATGATACACAAGGGGCTGATACTGCGTTTAACAAATTGTTGACATCTTGACATCTTGACTCACCACTATAGTCTGTTTGCAGTGAAAACGTACCAATGAATTTCACTCTAAACAAAAAGGTTAATCTAAATTAAGATTGCGAATCCTCATAATTTGACCTTGCCAATTGAACATTCAAATCTCAATATTTTATTCAACTTAGGATAAAAGTTGTTTAACAAACGATCATAGTTTCAAATCGCTATTATTTCAAGGGGGTATGCTCTTTAAATGAAACACCGAGAACAAGTAGTGTTGGTTTAAGTTAACGCTCATCACGTACCGCACGTGTATTTGTTTCACTGTTCCATCTACTGCGTTTACCCCTTCGTAATACACTATAGACTAGACTATGTTTTAGTCATTTAAGCATTGTCAGTCCCGCTAAGAAACAGCTGTCACTTGACTCGTTTTTCGGTAATGAAAGCGAGAAAAACTAATCTCCAGACTCTTCTAATGATGAACACTAAAACCAACTGCAAAATCATGACCTGTGTTATGTGCATTCAGGCCAAAAATAAATCGAACCTCTTACATTTGCTTCTCAAAAGTTTCAGAACACAACCTTAACCAGTCATAAATCTTCTAAAGATCACACTGACTCAGTTAAAATTCACGAAATGCAAAAGCATTTCAGCACTGTGTCAAAAATGCAGAAAAGGCAGACAAGGTTTATTGTTGTGACCAGACTGATGGCCACATATACAAATGCGCACTGTTTATGTCATGGCTCTAAAAATATCCCTGCTGATACTTTTAAAGATTTGATGAATCTACAAGTTATCAATGGTGTAGAAGACTGCAGCAACTTTTACAGAAATGCTCATGTCATTGAGGAATTGATCTTCCATATTATTGAAGAACAGCAAATTGAAGCCATAAAGAGCAGTCCATATATTGGCCTTATGTTGGATGAAACCTGTGACATCACCATAGAAAAAAAGCTTGCAGTACATTGATGGTGAACTCTCTGGGTGAACCTGCTTGCATACAGTATACGGAATGATTCAATTGAACAGTAAAAAATATATTTTTTATTGACTAATCATATAAATGAGTGAGTGAGTTCAAATTTAACGTCACCTCAGCAATATTTCAGCCATATAGTGATGAGAAATGTTTTACATAGACAATAAATTTTAATTGTTAAATAATCAGTCATGAAAGGACTGTAAAATAACTAGACTATCACAGATGGTATCTAAATCTGGCATGTAAATCTAAAACTATTTAGTTTACGAAGACAATACAATATAAAAACAGGCTATAGAACACCAACAACTGAAGGTAGATCGCCAAACTAGGGACCATGGGGACTTACAGTGCTTTTGTTTCTTGCATGGACTCATATAAATGACAAAACAACACAAAACAACAAAAGCTCTTGCTTTTGGATTTACACAATGAAATATTACACTAAATATTAAACTCAAATTTTCATGACTCCCAAATATTGAAAATGACTCAAAAATAAATACTGTGAGTCACCATGACTCCCATTTTTCAAAGTCTGTGTAAAGCCTTGAACAAGTTACCTAAAGGTAACTGATATGTGTTTTTTCTATAAGAATAAAACATTATTATAAATATTATTCATGAATATCAGGGTTTGTTTATCTTGAACTACCAGTACATAAAGCATATGTTTGATCTGCAAATACTGAACAGTTTCCAGCACTGTGTTGCCTTGAACCCAAGGACGTTCTACAAAGAAGTGCAGAATAAAATCAATATTGAAATGCATTTCCTAACATCACAACACGTTTAGAAAAGGAAATCCATTTACAGTGAAGCAGACAGTGAACGTTTTTACAGCAATATTGACAGTGACAAAAAGGTAATCTGCTAAATTTACATGCAAAAGACAATTGTAAAACATATTTCCACTTCTATATTACTCCTTGGGTCATGTGTGTGAGTGTGTGTGTTTCGATGTTGAACAAAGCACTATGCAAAAATCCAGCTTAGTCTGTCTCACAGTCCCTGAACTAGTGTTGGGAATTGGTTAAATGCTCATAATTGATGATTGGTTCATTACCACCGATCAATCATCGAAAATAATTGGTTAGCGTCATTTATGAAATTTCTTAATGCACAAAAAATAAGGAAAACAACATGTAAATATTTTGGGATTTGAGGCAAAATTTCACATCTTTAAAGTATGACTAGTATGTTAGGAACATAAATCTCTTGGTGTCTCTAAGATATATGCAATCATGACTTGGAACGAGCTTGTAGTGCTTATGAAATGTAACATACAAAACCAACCTTGTGAAAAATACTGTTGATGAAAACCAGTGTTCCAGAATTGTTTGTGTTCGATTATGAGAAAACATGATCGATTGCTTGGTCGTTTAGTCACTGCGACCAGTATTCGATTATGTCAATTAATGGGATCAGCACTACCCTGAACCACATTATTATGAGTGAGTGAGTGAGTGAGTGAGTGAGTGAGTGAGTGAGTGAGTGAGTGAGTGAGTGAGTGAGTGAGTGAGTGAGTGAGTGAGTGAGTGAGTGAGTGAGTGAGTGAGTGAGTGAGTGAGTGAGTGAGTGAGTGAGTGAGTGAGTGAGTGAGTGAGTGAGTGAGTGAGTGAGTGAGTGAGTGAGTGAGTGAGTGAGTGAGTGAGTGAGTGAGTGAGTGAGTGAGTGAGTGAGTGAGTGAGTGAGTGAGTGAGTGAGTGAGTGAGTGGGCGGGCAATATCACATCAGGGAACATCAGAAATGGGATTCACACATTGTACCCAGGAAACAGTTGATCTCTGCCCAGGCAATGCAGTTTCTTTAACACTGAGACCCATGAAGGTCCGGGTTAAAATGAATCTTCAGTAACCCATGCTTGTCGGAAGAGGTGACTAACGGGATCGGGTGGTCAGGCTCGCTGACTTGGTTGACACATGTCATCAGTCCCCTATTGTGCAGATCGATGCTCATGCTGTTGGTCACTGGATTGTCTGGTCCAGACTCAATTATTTACAGACTGCCGCCATATAGCTGGAATATTGCTGAGTGTGGCGTAAAACTAAACTCACTCACTCACTCTTTAACACTGAGAGATAATACTGCCACACTATCAACCAAGTCAGAGAACAACTATGGCCTCTCAGTCCATTAAGTCCTCTGTAATGACCAGCTGGGGCCCAATTATAGCCTTCAGATGTGGTTTTGAACAGGGTGTGTTTACATTTCGCATCATATGTCTCTGTAACATTGTAACATCAGAGTCTGCTCAAAGTGATCATATCATTAAAACGACATCAGTGTCTGATCAAAGTGATATCATTAAAACAACATCAGAGTCTGATCAAAATGATCATATCATTAAAACGACATCAGTCTGATCAAAGTGATATCATTAAAACAACATCAGAGTCTGATCAAAATGATCATATCATTAAAACAACATCAGTGTCTGATCAAAGTGATCACATCATTAAAGCAACATCAGTGTCTGATCAAAGTGATCATATCATTAAAACGACATCAGTGTCTGATCAAAGTGATATCATTAAAACAACATCAGAGTCTGATCAAAATGATCATATCATTAAAACAACATCAGTGTCTGATCAAAGTGATCACATCATTAAAGCAACATCAGTGTCTGATCAAAGTGATCATATCATTAAAACGACATCATCAAAACAATATCAGTGTCTGATCAAATAACAATGCCATCAAAGCAGTATAAGTGTCTGATCAAAGTCTCAGTAAATATTTACCCATGCCTCATCAAAATCATGACATTTATCAATATCATACAAGCAACATCATCTGAGTCAGGTCAATTGAGACTACATGACAGCAGCATCTGATGCAAGGCCAGCAGTTTTTTAAGACATCAACCACACAGCTTAATTTGGTTCTGACTCTGACTCCTTGAAAAACCAAACCTGTTATGAAAACACTAGACATGCATCCAATGTAGCAATTTATTTCAAGCGGAATGAGTACAGTTTTACACCATGTTTAGCAATGCTCCTTCATTATCACAGCTGAGGACAAGAGAAATGGGCTTCCTGCATTATACTGTTCAATAAATAATCACATTATTGAATATCACATTATTGAAAACTTCTAATATATAGTGGCAATAACTGGCTTTCGAACCTGCAACCCTTCCCTCTTTAACTTGGCGGTTTCATCCACTAGGCTACGAAGGATCGCTGT